GCCGCCGCAGCTTCGGACCGCGCTGCGTCTGCTGCCGGGCGCCTCCCTGGGCAGCTGGCGGCTGCCGGCGGCCCTCCCCATCGGCATGCTCGAAGTGGGCACCGTAGGTGCTCCGAGGAGGAAGAGCTACGTGCCGATGCCGCTGCTCCTCCCAGAGAGCCCTCGTCGCCACGGCCGGATTCCCCTCGAGGGTCTAGTCAGAACGGTCCCCGGAGAAGTCCGTGGAGTAGCGGTTTTCTCTGGGTGCGCTCGAAGTGGGCACGGTAGGTGCTCCGAGGAGGAAGAGGCACGTACCGATGTTGCTGCTCCTCCTGGGGTCCAGGCCTCCGGGATGGGGTCGGGGTACGGTGGGGGCGTTCGTGAAGGAATTTGCCCAGAAGGCGGCAGACCCTGGAGGATTGCTTATCTGATGAGGGCGGTGGTGATATCCTTGGCCAGTCCACGACTAGAGTTCCACCGGCTTCCAGACCCTGGATTCCTTATCCAACGCTTCCTTATCCAATGCCCCCACCGTAGATGGGGTCGGAGGATCGCGCCGCATCGCCGGTGTATCAGCGATGCGGCTCGATGCGGAGCCCGATTTTCTCCACGCGGACGTCGCAGTTGCATCGCCGACGCCGCCGATGCATCGGCGATGAATCGGCGATGCGGCGAGATCTTCCGACCTCTTCTGCTCCGACCTCATCTGAGAGGCCTCCGTGGTGAGCCCTCGTCGCCACGGCTGGATTCTCCTCGAGGGTCTGGTCAGAACCGTTCCGTGGAGTAGGTTCGTGGAGTAGCTCCCCAGGTTAGGTCAGGATCAAGGGGGTGGGGGGGTAAGGGTCAAGGGGGTGGGGGGAGAAGGGGGAACGAGGGTGGCAAGCAAAGCAGGAGGAAACGACTTTCTCGGAATCGAGGTTAGAAGTGTTCGGGCATCTTCGCCTGTCCTCGGCGGTTGGAATTTAGTCCTCTTCGCCTGTCCTTGATTCCCGAATGTCCTTTTAGTATCCCCCCATTCGTCCGACCCGAAGGGTGTGGAGGAGGAGGACAGCGGACAGATCGCAGAAAGCCAGCACTGTCTTGGAGTGTGTGTGTGTGTGCGTGTGTCACCATTATCCCGCCGCCGCCAGGCTCCTTCTCCCTCCTCCTGCATGGTGGCTTAATTCGCCTTCCTGCATCTACCAATGCCTCATCGCCAGCGCAGTGACTCTGCCTAGCCTCCGACGCAAAAGACTTCATGCCACCACTGTGCGTACGACGGCGCGACGGCATCGGTGTGGCACCAGGCTGTGCTACAGTCAGGGCGCTGAAGTACAGTGGAGACCCATGCCAAGACACACCCTGCTTGCCTCCAGGGCGCCTTAGGTTTCTTGGGTTCCGATGGTGTTCTTTGTACGGAAAGCGTGACGTTCCAACTCCAACAACCAATTGACGTCCTGGGGTGTCAAGGTTGGGTTTCTTGTGGAAGGTTTCTTGTGGAGTGGCCTCCACTGTATTCTGGATTCCTTAATCTGCGTGGGGTGGTATCCCCCCGACGGGGGTCAAGCTCGCCCCGTCGTCGCGCCGCGACGGGGGTCGGAGCGCCTTCGGTGCGCGGTGGCTGCCCGCGACGGGGGTCGATGTGGGGTTGTCGGCGGGGTGACGCCCCCCCGACGCGTCTTAAGAGACTCGGAGCGAGGTGTCCACCTCGGATGCAGGAGGGGCCTTGGTCTTCAGGCCGCTCCTCGGATCTGGGTCGGGGAACCCGCTCGTGGCCGAAGGAATTGCCCGGGGCTCACGTGCTTGGCAGGGTCGGCTCTAGTGAGAGTCGGCCGATCTCTTTCTCCTGGTGCTCCTCCTCCTCCTCTTCCTCCTCTTCCTCCTCTTCCTCCTCTTCCTCCTCCTCGTCCTCCTCCTCCTCCTTCGTCCTCCTCCTCCTCCTCCTCCTCCTCCTCGTCCTCCTCCTCCTCCTCCTCCTCGTCCGTAGCCGTTTTGGCTCAAGATGTCTGACTGGGGGGGCTGCGAGCCTCCAGGCAAAAAGGATACCGCTAGTCCGCGGCCAGCCTCCCGACCTACTGTGAGCTCCTGGGGGGGCGCCATCCGCTTAATCTACTTGATTGCCGCGGCGGCGCTGGGGAGCAGTGCAGGATGGCGACCAGGAGGCCCCCTTGGGCTGCGGGCAGCGGCGGCGGCAGCAGGACGCCACGCGGCGGTCCAGTCGGCAGCGGCAACGTGCGCGACAAACCCGACTGGTTTTGCTGCAAGGACGCTTGCAAGAATGCGAAAGGCGAGCGCTGGTGGAACCCAGGCTCGTCGATACGGTGTACAAAATGCAGGTTGCACAAGGGCGCCTGTTTCGGCAGCAATCGACCTGCTGGTGGAGGTGCCCCCTCGGTGCGCGCGCCCAGCGTGGCAGACACGCGTGCCGAGGCAAAGTACAAGACTATCTACGAGGACAGGATCGCGGCGCTGGAGCAAGAGCTGCGCAGCAAGTCCTCGCAGGACGGCGACATGGAGGTCGACGGCTCAGCAGTCGAGGCCCCAGCTGCAGGCGCCGCCGTGCGGAAGCGCGCCGACAAGCTGGCGGCCGATATCAAGCTGCTCAAGGGCCGCGACGACCAGGATGGCATCTACAAGGACGTCATCGACTCCTTCCAGAAGGAGTTGGACGAGCTGCGGAAGAAGCTGCACGACGCCAAGCCCGCGGACGCCAAGCTCCAGATCGCCCGACGGGACGTCAAGCGGAAGGAGGCTGCCCTGGTCAAGGCAGGAGACAAGCTGGCGGAGCAGGTGGAGGCCGTCGCTGCAGCACAGCTTCGCCTGGAGGAGCTCAGGGCCCAGCGGGGACAGTGCGAGACCGAGCTCGGCCGTGCCAAGGCCGTGGTGCACGAGCTGGTGGCTGCTGATGCTGCTCAGGCTGGCCCAGCCGCTGACGGTGGCAGCGAGACGGGGGCGGTCGCCCACACGTTCGGCATCGACAAGGAAGCGCTGGTGGCCAAGTGCGGGGAGCGCGGCTTCGGCGACCACGCCGAGGCGGTGTCCAAGCTCCTGGAGGAGTTGCTGCCGCAGCTGGTGGTGCCCACGGAGCGCCCTGCTCCTCCCCCTGCGGGCGCGGCGAGTGCAGCAGCCGCCCAAGCCGTGCCCAGAGCCGAAGACCCCATCGGCAAGGCATCTGAGGAGGCGCTGCGCGCCGAACTCGACAAGCTGTGGCCCTCCGACCTCGCGCCCGCCATGCCGAATGACTTGGAGGGGATGCGCGCTGTTGCTTCTCGCCTTGCCGCTAGCCCGCTCACCGGGGCCGCAGCGCGCATGCGAGCTGAACCGTACTGACCTCGTCACCATGGCGAGCCTGGGCGAGAGCAACAGCACCGTCGTCGCGCCCGACCTGGTCCAGGAGGACGCGCGGGAGGCGGAGGACGAAGCGGCCCGTCACCTCCTCGGCGAGGCGGCAGCAGTTGCAGGCAGCCGCGGCGCGGCAGTCACCATCGAGCGGGGGCTCAAGTCCCCTCGAAGGGGCACTGGGTCCCCCCTTCCTTTCCAGGTCGACTGTGCCTGGAATGCCGTGGCGCTGGAGCAGGCGAGGCCCGTGGAGCAGGTGGCTCCGCGCCCGCGCGGCCCTGCGGGGCAGGTGGTCTCGCGGCCGCGTGTGGAGGCCGAGGCGGCGCTGGCTGTGCTGAAGAGCGATGCGCTGGAGCAGCCGCGGCCCGTGGGGCAGTTGGCCCCGCGCCCGCGCGGCCCCGCGGGACAGGTGGTCTCGCGGCCGCGTGTGGAGGCCGAGGCGGCACTGGCTGACCTGGAAGGAGCTGCACCACCTGCTCTTCTTGTGCCTTCTGTCATCGCCGCAGCTTCAGGCGGAGCCCGAGGTGCTGGGCCAGCGCCTCGCGGATCGGTTGCCGTCGGAGCTCCTGACCAAGGGCATTCACTGTTTGGGGTCCAGGCGGGGATTGGCTATAACGACGGGGCTGCGGCCCTACATGCCCCCCCAGCCTCGATGCGTGATGGGGCCCAAGCCGCGCCGTCCTACGAGGTGCTGGATGGCGCCAGGGTGCCCGCAGGCCTGGTCTTCGTCAAGGGCCACGTCGAGGAGCCCCACGCGGCCCAGCAGCGCGCACGGACGGCGTCGCAGTTCGTGGACCTGGTGCTCGAGCTGATTGGCGAGATCGTGCTCTACTTCAGGCGGGTCGGCCTCCTGGCGGTGGAAGATCACGGGTCAGACCAGCACTTCATCAAGGACGCCAACTACAGCAACGCGTTCTTGCAGGTGGGGCAGGACGGGCTGCTTGACATGCAGGTCGCGTCGGAGGAGGAGCTCCGCAGGGTGCGAGTGCTCACGGCCCCCCTCCCGATCCTCCCGGCCACGCTGGAGCGGCGGAAGGCCGCGCCCGAGGTATCGAAGGCGAATCAGGTGGCGGAGCCCGCAGCAGAGGGTACCGACCCTTCGGGGCACGCACTGCTCACTGCGGGCCGAGCCACCAGGACGGCAGAGAGTGCCGACCCCTCGGGGCACGCACTGCTCACCGTCCGAGCTGCACGGCGGAGGGCGGCCAAGCCGATGCAAACGAAGATAGAGCACACGCTAGCCATCACGGCGAACGGCACCACGTGGTCGAGCCTCACCGACCTGCTGCTGGACGTGGAGGGGCGCCGAGCGGACATCTTCTTGGGCCAGGAGACCCATCTGTTCGGCGCCGAGGCGTGCGCGACTCAGGAGGACTGGGCGAAGCGAGCCAAGTGGAACCTGCAGCTGGACCCAGCAGCACCCACAGGACGTGGAGGCACCAGCGGCGGCTTGTGCATGGCAACGCAGCCGTGGCGAGGACTGGCGAGCTACCCGTGTGTGAGCACGAGGTTCAGCATCGCACGTGGCCGAGTACAGCTGAGATGTTGGAAAGGATGGCTTCCAGGAGGCGTGGTGGTGGCCAACGTCTACCTGCGCCACAGCGAGGGCATGACGGACAGGAACAGGCTCCTGGTAAACCTCCTCGCACGCGGGCTGAAGCGCCTGGCTCGGCCTTTCATCATCGGCGGCGACTTCAACATGC